CATAAAGTTAATAAAAAAGATCGCATACTATTTCTTATAGCAGACAAATGCTGCTGTTTAAATAGGTTCTATATTATTTCCTTTGTATATATGCCATACATTTAGCTTTATATCATGCATACTTTTGACATTTTGTTAAATATCATAGTTTCATACTTATCCTGCCTTTTCTTTATTTTTAGCTTGATTTTAAATCTAACCAGTGTTTATTTCTTTGATATATGAAAGCATGATTCTCGACCTAATCGTTTATTTCCTGTTTCCTACTTATGCCATACATTTTGCAGTTCGCCCCTTTTTTGACTCAGATAATGTCATTTTTGGGCGTTAATTCTATGCAGGAGATTGATGTCGCAAGTATGCTGGAGAGTTATTTACCTGTTGTCCGTAAGATCACGGAACAATTTAAAGACCCATCGAAAACGACCTTCGTTTGTGTGTGTATCCCCGAATTCCTCAGCATGTATGAAACTGAACGCCTTGTTCAGGTATCTATTTCATGATTTTGTTTATTTTTGTTTAATTTACATTTAGATCTTCAACAAAGGCTATTTTTGATTCTCATAGATTACTTCGTGTCTTGATTATCGCCCGCCATTTTTTGAATTATCTTCGCTTTTAATTTTGCTGTTTCGGAGAGCCAATGTAATTTTTATTAGTTAAGCTCTTACGGATCTTATTCCTCCATAAATTTGTTTCCCTATATGCTTCATTTTGAAGTTTCTCATCCACTCAGTATTGCTTGCTTGCTTGTCTAATATCATGCTAGAGCATGCTCGACAAAAACTAATGTTAAACTAGAGTGTTCGGAACGTCATATGAGCCTAAGAATTCATTTACTCCAAATTTATATTTATTCCAACCATTGTTATGTAAGTTGAATATTCATTTCTTATTTCGATTTTCAATCACTGTTATTCTATTCGGATGAAAAATCTCTTAATGCGCCTCAATCTACCAGAGACCACAACTATTCATTCACACACAGCTGTGGTCTTATCTGAGACGTAGTAATATAAGGCTTGAGATCGGGGTAAAATTGCACAGACTTGATGAAAAGAGGATTCAGAATAAGTCGGCATGTAGAGGTGTGTTTTTAATGACTCCCTCGATAGATTGGTATTGGAATACCTTTCATTTCGTTTAAGGAGGCGAGTTGAAGGGATTCATAAGTTGTTCTTATTGGAAGCCGAAGGTATGTGGGATTGCAGCCAGCCTTGTTTCTATACTTGGCAATTTATCGTTAAGCACATTGTGCTAATCTGACGATGTCTGTCACATGACAGGCGAAAGCTGATTAAAGATTAATCAGGGCTGCGAAGTGATGAGCCGAAGAATTATTCGCACCAATCTACAGCCACTACACCTAGGCAAACCCCCTTTGGCTTACGGTGAGACCAAGTTAAGACTTCCACTAGCCTCTTCAAACAGAATAAAGGTATTCCAACATATGTATGTTTAAAGCTTATCATCTTTACTAGTTCATTTTCTTTATAATTTTTTCTCAATTTGGTATTACTAACGGAAACTCAGCCAACATCAATTTGGGTTGCACAGCTTTGCGCAGAAGACTTTTTCGCGCTATTAATCTCAACACATCATCTTTTTGTTGAGGCCACTTGCCTTTTGAAACGAAAGGAGGGGAATAGCATTAGGTCAATATCATGAATGTTAACTGATAAGAACGTATTTAGTACGAGGCTAATCGAAACGTATACAGGAGTTTATATGCGATTCCAAAAACTTTGTATTTTAGTTTGATACTTTTAGCGAAACATTTAACTATAAATTATAGATACCAAGTTGAAATGACATGACTTGGAACATTACAATTTCCCAATCTTACTGACTTTACTATAGCCTGACATGATTACTGAACTCATATTCGGGATGATGTTCAAGTGGCCATTTCTAAAGTGAGATCCATAGATGGGCAAAAAATTTCTGCCATAATACTGCAACCTACCGCACGAATTAATCAATATTTTTGATACCCACCAGTTGGATTATACTCTAGGCGACACGCTTTTAAGCAAATGTAAGCTTATATATGTTAGGATATTTACAAATTTAATGTTACCTACTGCACCTCTTTAGGAACTAACTGCCCAAGAGATTGATGTGCACAACATTATCATCAACCAACTTCTCTTTCCCAAACCGATTCTGGATGCAGAAGGCAACCCGATTCCCGAACATATCGATGATGAGCCCAGGTCCTCCTGCCGAATGTGTTTAGCACGAGAGCGCATTCAGACGAAGTATCTTGGACAGATTCTGGAGCTCTACGAGGACATGCACGTGATGCAGCTTCCTCTACTTGAGGAGGAGGTTCGAGGCTTCGATCAAGTGCGGAACTTCTCCGAGCACCTTATGAAGCCTTTCAGGCGCTAACCTATTTGTCATCCTGACCGACAGACATTTCAGTGGATAAAAGCCCATCACGCATAAATCGTACTGTAATCACTAGCTTTTTGATTGATGAAGTGCTTATCACTGCTACATCCCGTGTGCATTCTCGAGCGGGCGAAAAAGCTACCTTGCATATTTGAAAGTCATCCCTTTCAACCTCTGATGCCAATATCGCTCAGCAATTATTGAGATTTACTGAGAGAATGCCCCCCTTAAGATTTTTAATATTCGCATTCAAGCAATGTCACTTCATTTTCCTACTGTTTGAATGATATAGCCCTGCATCGATTTGCTCTATTTGGGATGTAAAAGCATGACAAATTTTCTCTGTACTGAGATCGCACACTTTAAACGTGTATATATGTATATGTAAATCGATAAATATGTATGC